GAAATCGAATGAAATATGAGGCAAAGTCAGGAACATGTAACTGTCAATTGGAACATTTCGGCATCTCCGTGATACACACGGTAATTCCATATTCCCCATGTTTCAAAAAGTAAAATGCAATATAACATGTCAATTGATGATTTCATAATATATTCTCAACACTATTCTCTCACAAACGTCAATGCTGTCAGATGTAAGCCAGGAAAATCTTTGAAGCATCTAGATGCAAAGTGACAAATATTAACTGATTTAGATAAGTAACCACGTATCTTAGGTAGCTATGTAAACACAGTACAGCCAATAAAGTTACAATTTCAAAGTAACAAGAGTAGTATCACAATTTACAGTACTAATTTAGGGATCTGGATGCCCATGTTTCCGTTTGTATTGAGCAAATTTGTCTTCCACATTTTCTATACCAATTGACACATTTGAAATACGTGCCTAAGGAACAGATATGACACCAAGAGGCTGATCAATCATGTTCTTCTGTTGTTTACATTAACTGGCTTAATTCTAGTAGCAACAAAATTACACACAAAAAATTGAGGACAACACAGACGTATACCAAGGAAGTCAGGAATGTACACAGGTGTGCCAATAATTCAGAAAGCAAAGAACTCTCAAAAGTGTTGCCACACAAACCGAGAACTGAATAAAACAGTCTGGACATTTTGTGTATCTAAAATTTACCACCAACAGAATGCATATTAACAACAATATTTCATAGCTACTCTACGACGAAGAGATATCGTAAGTCTTAATTGCTAAGTTGTTATTGTGTTCCAAAGGCCCCTATCGTAAACCTTTTCTAACTTGCTCCAAATAGCTACAGTAGTGGTTAATTCTATACCCTAAGTATCTTCCAACCTGATGAAATTATTTACGGAAAGTAGTGGTTTTCTGTTTTATCTCTACGTGGCCATTTCACTTTCGTGTTAAGATAAATTTTGCACTGTACGGTAATTAAGTATAAGGACCTTTGCACAACGTAAAAAGGTCATCAAATGACAGCTATCGGAATCGGCATCGATCAAGTAATAGATTTGAATGTTTATCATCTTTCGACTTATTGTAGACAAGACAAATACATCGCAGCCTTCGCTGCGATATACAGAACGCCCTAACGCTTACACTTCCTAGAGGTAAGATTCATTTACAAGACAACACTTTCTTTAAATTCTACCCAATGCATACGGTTACGTTAAGTCCCTGTCACACATTAAGGATCTCCCCATGACTTTGCCCCTGACCTTTCCCCAACCAAGGTTTGGGACATCCGTATTCTAACTCCAGTTTGTTCCTCCGATTACATCTATGATTTGTTGGCTGGTGGAACAGACCTTTTAAGATTAGTAGTAAGCTACCTCGTCGACTAACTCCCAACCACAGATGCCCTTGCTCACGACTATTAAACTCCCAACCTTGGTCTGGAGAAGGTCGGGAGAACATGGTCGGCTATGTATGGCAGGGGCTTTGGGCTCCTGGTGTGTAGGTTACCTATACACGCCGGTTAATACATCACAGTTCTTCCGTTTCTCTTCCTGTTGACGACATACAGTATAGGCCGAGCCTGCCACCGTCTGACACAAAAATTCAACAATTTCTATTTACATGTACGTGACAGGCTTTGGTAAGAAAACTTCAACCATTCCAAATACAGCCGTCACTGTGGTAATGAACCGGTCAATCCGCTCGAGCAAAGGAGAATGAAGATTTCAGATTCAGGCGAGGAATCGAATCGTACGTCTATTTGTGCAAATCGAACGACACTGTTGCACATTCATTTTCTGAATTTTTGAAATTGCCCAAGTTTGCTCACCAAGGCCTGGCGTTTGGGGACAAAGTAGACAATATAGCGCCCTATTTCCTGAAAGACAACATTTGCGTCTTGGCTTGCGCCTAATTCTACGAGTAGCAGCACACATATATCTCTGTTATTCCTTTTTGGCTAAAGCTAAGAAGAGTCATTCTTCAACTCGTACAGGAATCAAACATGTATAGTACAGGCCCTCTCATACTGCAGGTTAAATGCCGGTGATGTCAAAATGATTAAAGTGACCACGTTGCTTGTATTTAGCCATATCCGTTACGCTAGATCCGTACCCTTCATATAATGAAAGGATTATTTTGATTCAGATCCTGAGAACAACAACACAACCTTGCATGACGATTTCCTGATTAATAATGAAGCCCTAAAATAGGACGGAATATAGTATCATAGCCGGTAATGAACGAGTGTTAAACCTTTCGTCTCTGGTAAATATGATTAGTAAATCTTGGTTATTCATGGCTAAATTCTGCATCTCTTGTTTGTGAAAACACGACTCGGGTAAGCTGAATATATGCCATAAGTTAATATCAATTGATCAATTCATTGATTGATTAATCAAAATATATCTTCAGTGATTCAATTAATGTCCCTGTTGTAGATCGTGCCACTTCGCTATTTGCCTCCGCGGGTTTTCGCACACTTCCTTCCAGTGCTCGAGGGTGGAGGGCGTCTTCGCCCGGCCTCCGAACGTCAGCCGCCCGATCTGGTCGTTCTTCGAGACCCGGTCGTGGTCCAGCACCTGTAGCTCCACCGTGATGTCATCCAGTCCCTCTGACGGGACGTCGAAGATGAAGGACTCGTTGAAGACCGGGTTGGCGGTGTGACGCTTGACGTGGGTCTTCTTCTTGGCCAACTTCTGGTCTCCTTGCAAGAGGCACAGCTTCACGAACGGGTCTAATGTGACAAGGAAAACCAGAAGATTTAGAATATACACATATATGACCATGGTCAAGGGTTTCTTAAATCTGAAGGAGAACTGGGTGCGATAGATGACAAGGAAGAAGTGCATTTTCATACTTTGGAGTTTGGCCGTATGACTTACCCTGATCTCACCCCCTTAGTGAGTTCTCCTTACATAGGCGAAGACCTCCCCTAAGCAATATAGTTTGACCATATCCGGTATCACATCTACCATTAGCTATGTGACCCCCCCCCCCAAAAAAAGACGTTCGTCTGTTCCAGGTAGACTGTTGTCACAGAGAAATGAAAGAGCCGAGCGAACAGGTTCCACCTGCGCGGCTTACCAGCAGGTCCCATGAGGTTGTAGCCCGTCAGGTTCCTGGCCTTGAGGATGACGACAGACAGTCTGTTGGCGGCTGGCTGGTAGCACAGGGACACCAGGATCTCTCCCTTCCCAGATGGCTTCTGCTGCTGCTGCACAGTCAGACGACAGACATTAAAAATTAAATAGGGCCGAACTGGCACGAGAGTTGCTGTTAGATACAAAGCTTATTAGGTTTTGACAGTGATGCATATCGCAGCTGATGGGCATGGCGATTTGGGATGATTTCGTGGCGTGAATCTGACATTCGTAGATGCGAAAAAATGTCATGTTTCAGTTTGGTTTTGGCCGACTATGCATCGTTCTCGTTAGTTCACTCAGAAGGTCACAAGGTTATAAATTGCACCCTTTGCAGCACCACCTTTAACCCCTCTTAGAGCAGAATGCCGTTGCCTATTACTGGCGTAGACGTAAATCACTGTGATCAGCATCCGTGCAGCAACTATGTCATAGAAGATTGACCTGCCCTTTCTTCCGCCACTCAATTGCAAGAACGCTGGCTGTAGCTACTTGTAGGACTTCTACACGAGTCACCATAAATAATATGATGGATTCAAGTTGATGATCACAGTACAGAAAATGCACCACGTCGTGTTTTTTTCTTACCTTGGTCTGCTTTCCAACGATCTCGCCTGTCATGGTGACCTCTCCCTCAGTCATGTCGACCTTGGCCAGGGACATGGTGACCTCCCCGATGAGGTGGTCCCTCGAGAAGCGGTCGAAGCTCAGGACGGAGAAGTGGAGGGAGATCCCCGGGAGCTGGCCGCGCTCCAATCCGAAGAACGTGAACGTCTCCTCGAAGACGGGGTTTCTCGTGCGGCGGAGGACTCGTGTCTTGACCTTGTGCTTCTTGTCCGGGAGGAGACACAGCTTGATGTACGGATCTGCCGAGCCGCTCTGTGGGTCCCGGATCGGGAGGTCGTTCGCCTTGTGGATGGTGACTCTGAAGGCGCTCTTGTGCACGTCGTAGCCTACGCTGAAGTTGAGGGTCCCGAGGGTTGTTGGTGGCGGGACGGTCTCCAATCCTCTCCCGTATCTGGTCCAGCTTGTTCTCCATCGCGTCCAGGCGTGGGGACCGCTGGCTCACCTCGTTCTCGATGCAGTAATCGGTGCTGACCAGGCCGGGGTCGATGGACAGCGTGTCGCTGGACGACGTCTTGATGTAGGTTTTGGTCTGAGGAAGAGGCATGGAGAAAGACTGAGGTAGGATGGGTATAGCGGGGGAGACGGGTGACATCCTCTTGGACGGGTCGCTGATGGTGCTCCTCGGGGACGAGCTGTCCGCCCTTCGCCCGTTGTTGGGAAGGCTCTGGGACGAGGACGAAGATCCGAAGGAGGTCTCGCGGAGGAGCTTTCGGCGGTGACAGCGGCAGATGCAAACAGTGACGGACACGGCGATGGTCAGCACGACACTGCACACCGTCCCGATGACCGCGGGGCCCGATACTGGGGAGGACATGAAGGGTCGTCATCAGAAACATCAATGGTTGCCAGGACAATAGATAAAAACCAGATTCTAGATACACAAGCACAACAAAATATCAGAATAAAGGAATATAAACTAAGGAAAAACAAAACAATGGCGATGTCCCTGATCCAACAAGTAAATAAAGAGTCATGAAATAAAACAATGTGCCAATAGTACTATTATCATGTAGACGCTTATCGATATCGATGTCACACTGCATATGCAGGCGGAAGGTCCACTCATGCAAACACGATAACAGAGCACATATGACCCTCTGTGTCCTCTCGTGAATATGTAGCCATGATTGTACATTTAAATATACTCCCCGTCTATCTTAGGTAATCAATGCTTATCAGTGCAATACCAAAAAACAAATAGAAACGATGGATTTTCATACGGCCTTCTTTCCAAACGAGTGAAAATAAGTTGCAAACGATTTGTGATGTACGCCTTTTCTTAATTACCTTCGCCAAGAATTGACGAAGGTTATGTTTTCCTGGCCCTGTGTGTGTCTGTGTGTCTGTCAACAGCATAACTCGAGAAAGCTTGGATGGATTATCTTGATATTTGGTAGGTGGGTAGGTCTTGATGAGAGCTCGAACTGATCAGATTTTGGGCCCCCTGGCGGCTTGTTACGGTACTGCAGCTGAACTTCCGGTTTTGATATCTCATGATCTAGACATGCTAAGGTCACGAAATTTGTAGGATAGGTAGCTCTTTTGCTGGGGAAGAAGTGACGTGAGTTTGGGCCCCCTAGCGGCTTGCTCAGGAACTGCAGGGCTATCTGTAACAGGATAACTCAAGAACCGGTGGACGGATCGTCGTGATTTTTGGTATGTAGGTAGCTTAAGTGACGCTTGACATAATTATGCGACAATTATGCAAATCTGGATGTAATTTGCATAAGTAATTGGGAAATTCTATAAATCAGCTGCATTACATTATAGGACTATTCAAGCTTGTGACATATGTAATTGAGAACGAAACAAACACAGGCAGATATTGATTATGTAAATTAACACTTAATTTGCATAATTATTGAGAAAATGTTATAATTCCATAATGCTAACTGCCTGTAATTTCATACTTGGGGTATTTGAAAGTTAAGTGAAGGTGAACATCATTAATCATAACTTATTCAAATAAGGACCTCATTTGCATAATTTATGAGGAAATGATAGAATGGTTTTCTTTTGATCGAGAATCTCGTTGGGAGAGACCTGCACGCCACGTTACAACCGCTTTCACACCGGCGCGATGTTGCTAGCCTGGCGTTACTATATCGATATTTCCACGGCAGATGCTCTGCTGAACTTCACTCCCTCGTACCCCCACTCAGAACATTCTCTGCAAGAACACGCTTAGCCACCTCAACAGCAGAAAATCACCCTTTCTTCCTCAATAGTCCATCAGTCAAGAGAAAATTTCATGCTGACAGTTTCTTCCCCAGAACCACTTCACTGTGGAACAAGCTTCCCCGTGAATGTTTCACCGCTAATTAC